AGATTCCAAGTTCCACTCAAGGTCCAATAATATACGATTGAAAAAGTTCGGGATTGAGTGGTCTGCACCGCCGTAACACATCTCCGGTAAGTACCCGACTCTTCCCCTTCCAATCTGCTCTCTTCTTCCCACTTTCTCTCTCTCTCTCTCTCTCTCTCTCTCTCTCTCTCTCTCTACTGTTCATCCCTCGATGCTCCCCACTCCCGTTCCTCCCTCTACAATGTCCCAGATCTACCCTGAATGCCTCTGCAGTGTGTCTCGCAGCGAACGGGCGGCTATGGCCGCCAAACACTTTGTCTCCTCCCTCCTGGCTATGGTGGTCTCTTGCAGCCAGGGCGCTGGTCTTCTTCCTCCCTTCAGCATTCTTCTTCCTCCAGACCGCTACGGTAGTCTGCACAAGCTCCAGCAACGCTTCCACAAATTTGTGAAACGAACAACTAACTGTCCTCCAGCACTGTAGCCCAAAATACATAGTTGCAGTGGGCTGCGTGTGCCTGCTTCAATAGGTACCGGCCTCCTTCGGCCGCTGCCTTGCCAAGTTGCTATTTTGGGAAAGTTCCCCTGACTTTCTGGTGAGGCTGCTGCAAAACTGGACTTTTGGGGACTTGACGTGCTCATAGGTGCAGTACGCCTGCCGCGCCTCATCCTACAGGCCCTAAGGTTGTAATCTACAGGGCCTTGGACTGGGATAATTCAGGACCCTGTAACCGGGACTGGGAAAGCTTGCAGCGTGAATCCATTCAATTTGAAATATATAATTTATATTATATTATAGGGTAAATTGTTGAAATACCCCTAAAACTTTGGGTATTCCGTTAGATGCCCCTAAAAAAAGACGCATCTGCCCGTCCCGCTCATTGGCAACTTCGCGACAGGCAACTCCCTAAGACGCATCTGCCCCTGTCCCCCAGTATTATAGGGTACGCTTAAATGCCCCCAACTTCTGCATCTGCCCCTGCCGCGCTCATTGGCAACTTCGCGATATGCCCTGGCCCTGGGCTGCAGGGGTCCGTGCATTTCTTTTGCAATGTGGAGGGTCCAACGGCCTAAAATACTGAGGCATATAGACAAGTTGCCCAGGGCCCGGTAGGGGTATATGCAAAAGATGACAGGTCCAATTGGCGAGTGGTAGTGGTATTTCGCAAAGTTTCACTACTGCCATAGGGGCATTCGCCATACCCCATGCCCTTTAGGGGTATCTGACGAAATACCCGAACTTTCAGGGGCGTTTCAACAAATTTCCCTATACTATATCACAGCATCACCCACCCAACTGTCAGTCTATACATACAACACTTCACACACAGCAATTACTCAGATGTAGATACTAACCTCACCGCTAGATGGAATGTCTTAAAAAAAAAAAGAAAAAAAAAACGTAATATGAAGTGGATTTCTTGGACGAGAAAGAAAAGATAGAATGTCCATGTACTGCGATACACGAATAGATGCATGTTCACACCATGCATTCGAGTGACTTGTTCAGATATGACAGCAAGCTTTTTCGCTGTGACTTCCGTGGTTTTCCTTCCGTGGTTTTGCATTTGTGTGCCTTGCATTCGCGTGTGACTACTACTTGGTCTATGATTGCTCCTGCTCTCCAGCTCACAGCCAAATGCAACAAAATAGTACGCTGCAAGCTCACGCACCAGACCAACTATTCATGATGAAACAATCAACCGGTTCAACTCCTACGTACACGTAGTCAAATTTTATATCCGCACTATCCTTCATCATTGTCCTCTCTTAATCCTTGTTCTTACGACTCCACATCTTCCTCCTCTCACTCCTCCTCCTCCCCATGCTCTCTCTGCATGCTTCCTAATCATCCCCCATTTCATCATGTCCTCCCATCACGCCCTTCTCCTCCTCCTGACCATCCCCCCTCCCTCCTCTCCCTTCCTCCTATCCCTCCCTCCTCTCCCTTCCTCCTATCCCTCCCTCCTCTTCCTCCCCTTAGTCACTCCTTCTCCTCCCCAATCCTCCCCCCTCTCCCTACCCTCTCGTCACGAATCACTACCGTCTCCATACCACACTCATCCTAAGTCGCAGTTCAATCAACTCTCTCTCTCTCTCTCTCTCTCTCTCTCTCTCTCTCTCTCTCTCTCTCTC